TGTTTCTAATTGGGTCTAATTAAGGAGTTAGCTAAGACAACAGTGTGAACTCCATGATTCTACCGAAAAGCACAGTTTTCTGCTAATGTTTGAACCAAGAACCATTTAATTTGACGTTGTGTCCTGCAACCGACGAAAAAGTATGTTAAAGGCTGGTTACATGAGAGATGAACGCTGAGGATGTTTTATTATGAAACTCTTACATTCTTAAATTTGTTTTTATATATCATCGACTTTTCTTGGTATACATGACTCATCCGGAAGGTACAGTGGCGTAGCGTAGATTAATAAAATATAGTTATAAGTGTATAATGTAAGTATAAGAAATATTTTGCTTCATTAACATAAAACTATAAAAAAAATTTTTTAACTAGGGATTGGGGCCTAACTCACTGGAAGATGAAAATAAAGATTTTTTGAGAGCAATATTTGCCAGCAGCTAAGTTGTTCTAGATTGAAGAATAAAGAACTGCAGATGAAGGTGTCAGGGTTGGCGACGTCGCGCAACGCACCAGTGTCCGCCGAATATGTAAAGGAGGTAAAGATGATTATGTAGTCAGTTACGACGATGGCTCCGTAACTCCATAACTTTTCATAGGAGTTGAATGACAATAAGCCGACGGATGATACGCTGACGTGTCGAATAAGAGAGCTTGAAACTGCTTTAGATCTGACCGAAAAAGATGTTCACTTGAAGCAGGACACAATCATCGCCCTTAGACAGCAGGTCAGCGATATTCAAAAGGTCAACGCGGATTTGTACACCAAGCTAAGGGTGAGTTCTGGTCAATCGACTGTGGAAAAGATGTTCTCTTTCATGTCTGCGCGGAAGTCTCCTAATCTAAGTGGATTTTGGTATTCGATTCGGTTCAGTACTGAGTATTGACTTATTTTTCAAAATTAATCAGTCAGTTTCGATGACCGTTTATCCTTTCGGGTCCTTGAAGCAGACGCGTCAGACGTTTCTAACGTTCCCGATCCTGTGTCAGTGTTTGTGATGCGACAGAGGACAACCAGAGTCTGGAGCAGAATTATTCAAGACATTTGCCGCAGTTTATTCTTGGACGTGTCCGCGCTGTTATGCCGGTTAAGCGAATAGCAGCTACTTAACCATTTTTTCTGCAAGTGTTCGAAGAACTTACCCAACCATCGCAGCTATGACTTCTCAGTCTGAAGAATCAGCAGCTCTGCACATAAGCTCTCAGATATTCTTATTCCAGACCCAGGTAGAAACGCGTAAGACCAGCGATTCGTCGCAGAAAACCCATTTCAGCCGCTTGTACCCCGGAGCAAAGTTTTTTAGTCATGATCCGCCACTCATGACCATAGATGAGTATGGCGATAAAGATCGACTTGAATTCGAAGAGCTTAGTCTTCAGACTCACCTCTGCGTATTTTCCATCACCAGTAAACACGACTCTGACGTTCTTGAACTTCTCCATCTGCTCTACTGCATCTCAGTTTATCTGAAGAGATCAGCGGACAGGTGAACGAGAAAGCACAAGGCTATTCGTTCGTTCGCACCATGCCTACCCCGTCGGAAGGCTTTCGGCCGCGAGGCTTTCCACAGACCGCTGGAGATCAGTTTCAAAAGATTCGTCCTGGCTGCGCCTGACTATTTTAGCGATGGAAACATAAACAACAAATGGGA